ACATGCAGAAGGCAACCAATTGATGTGTCTCTCTCACATAGGTATTTCTTCCCCTCCCTTCCACTCTTTCTAAAAGTTAATGGAAAAATATCCTTGGGTGAGGATTAACAAACAACAAAACAAAAGAATGTTGATGATATTTGCATCCTGAAAATCCTTCCCTAAAGCAAGGGCCATACATCTATAATCTTTAAAACAAAATCACACGGAAGCTTCTGAATGCCATCAAGGCACCACACAGCATGCAATGCCCAGTGGGAGGGAGAATCTAGAGCAGGTTTGACAGATGGTGGTACCAGGGGCCTCACCTGCTTGATAGCGCCAGTGTTGCCCAGAGTGTCAATGGTGTGGGCGGCTTTCAGGGTCAGCAAGCGGATCTCTTCAATGGCAATGCGGCTTTCAGCAATCCAGTGAGCCACAACCTCCTGCAGGGGAGCCAAGGGCAGCAAAAGGAGGAGATAAGCTGCTATTTTATGTCACTGTAATACACCGTAATAGTTTGGTGAAAACACTAGTCTAGTCCAAGGACTGTTCCCAAGCCTTACTCTACATATTTTTTAGAATATATAGAGCATATTCATTTGATACAGCTTCTTTATTAGTTGTAGAACCATACAGATTATCTATTTTACCTTTCACAATTTTGGCAGTTGTGGCTTTTGAGGAATTAGTCTAATTCATCTAAGTTGTTAAATTTATATGCTTTGGACACATGCCTGGCTGTGTGGGGCCCAAGGCCCAGATCTAGAGTGAAGGAGATTCCACTGTAGCCTTAGCTCCAGGGCCCTTCTCCAGCCCAGCTTTCCCAGAGAGCTCGCATTGTGGGTTATAGAGAACCGACACAGACTGGGAAAATGGAATAGATGTACTTGACCCTGTTTCTCTTGCAAAGTACAACTAAAAACCTGGGGCATTATCTATAAACAAACCTAAGAAGACCCTGAAAGGCCGAGAGAAGAAGGCAGACCTAGGGACTTCAGACTAAAAGAACAAATTGGTGGTGACTTCCCTGGGTTTTCTTTTTGCCTCATATATCTCAGACTTGGGGCTGAAGAAGCCAGCAACTTGGAAATGCCAAGTAAATAGAAGGCTATTTCATGCTCATGGATTGGAAAAATTAATATTGTTAAAATATCTATACTACCCAAAGCAATCTACAGATTCAATGCAATCCCTATCAAAATACTAGTGACATTTTTCACAGAACTAGAACAAACAATCCTAGAATTTATAAGAACCACAAAAGACCTTAAATAGCCAAAGAATCTTGAGAAAGAAGAATAAAGTTGGAGGTATCACGCTACCTGATATCAAACTACACTACAAGGCTATAGTAATCAAAACAACATAATATTGGCATAAAAACAGACATATAGATTAAGGAACAGAATAAATAGCCCAGATATAAATCCATGCCTATATGGTCAATTACTCTACAACAAAGGAGGCAAGAATATACAATGGGGTAAAGGCAGTCTCTTCAATAAATGGTGTTGGGAAAACTGGACAGATACAAGAAAGTGCAATTAGACCACTTTCTTAAACTATATATAAAAACAAACTCAAATTGATTAAAGACTTAAGTGTAAGCCCTGAAATCATAAAGGCCCTAGAAAAAAAACAGGTAGTAAACTCTGATATTGATGTTAGCAATATTTTTTGGGTATGTCCCCTGGGGGCAAAGACAAAGGCAAAAATAAACAAATGGGTCTGCATCAAACTGATGAAAGCTTCTGTGCCACAAAAGAACCCAACAAAACAAAAAAAGGCAACCTACTCAGTGGGAGAAGATATTTGCAAATGATACAGCCCTTAAGGGGTTAATATCCGAACTATACAAAGAACTCATACAGCTCAACATAAAAAAACAATTATAAAAAAGGCAGAGGACCTGAACAGACACTTCTCCAAAGAGGGCATACAGATGACCAATAGACATGAAAAGATGCCCGACATCACTAATCAAGGAAATGCAAATCAAAACCAAAATGAGCTATCACCTTATGCCTGTCAGAATGGTTATCAATAAATCAACAAACAAGTGTTGGTGAGGATGTGAGAAAAGGGACTTCTTGTGCACTGTAGGTTGGATTGCAATTTGGTGCAGCCACTATGGAAACTATAGAGGTTTTTAAAATAATTAAAAATAAAATGGCCATGACCCAGCAATCCTACCTTTGAGTATTTATCTGAAGAAATCCAAAAAACGAATTAAGATATATGCACATCTGTGTTCATTTTTAAAGATTTTATTTACAATAGCCAAGTTATGAAAGCAATCTAAGTGTCCATCGGTAGACGAATGGATAAGATGCAGTGCATAAATGCAATGGAATATTAGCCATAAAATAAGAAGGAAATCTTACCATTTGTGACAACATGATGGACCTAGAGGGTATTATGCTAAGTGAAATAAGTCATACAGAAAGACAATTACCATATGATTTCACTTATATGTGGAGATTTTTTAAAAAGCAGAATAGAAAGACTCATAGATACAGAGAATATTTTGATGATTGCCAGATGCGAGGAAGGTTGGGGGAATGGGTGGAAAAGGTGAAGGGATTAAAAAATACAAATTGGTAGTTATAAAATAGTCACAGGGATGTGAACTACAGCATAGGGAATATAGTCAATAATCTGCATGGTGTCAGATGGAATGAGATTGATCAAAATGATCACAAGTTATATCCTGTCTAATCGCAGGGGCTGTACACCTGAAACTAATACAATATTCTGTGTTACCAGTAATTGAAAATATAAATGCTTTAAAATAAAAAAAGAAATAACACGTTAGATATATTAGGTTAAGTAGAAGTCTTAAAATAAATTTCATCTATTTTATACTTTAAAAAAGTGTAGCAACTAGAAAATTTTAAATTGCATTTGTGACACAATATATTTCTATTAGATGGCTCTGCCCTAGAGGTTGAAACAAGACTCTGGATTGACAACTTCAAATGAGCCACCAGTGGTGAGAATCCTTTTTGACGGTGTGAAACGGGATCCTAACTTCACGGACAGACCCTGGAGGCATTTGCTGCCCAGCTTCAGCACAAAGGAGAGTGTGCAGCTGGGTGTCTACAGACCCGGGATTTGCTGAAAAGGATTAAGTGGGTAGAAACTGAGTGCTCTACGGAATTGCCAGATCAGTTATTAAGACACAACTTTGATATAGAACTGCTAGCTTTAGCGCCTGGAAGGAGTCTCCAAATTCAGGGAAAAGGAATGTTACTTTCACAAATAAGAAAAAAAAAGGCTGGCCCGAATTTTTGTTGATGATATGCTTACACATCTCTTTGACTTCTGCCAGATCATTTTCTTCCTGTCAAATGCAAGAAGTTTCCAGGGAGTCATACTTTGGGGGAAAAAGCCCAGCCTTGTTCTAATTGATACATTAATTTTAAAGAGCAGGAGGGAAATTTCCCTTTAGTGCAATATTGAAACATCTCTCATGATATGTATTCAAGATGCTGTCCCTCAACCTTTCTGTGTCCTTTCTGTGTCCTCCCTTTACCCTGCTCGAGGGGTTGGATGCAATCCTGGAAGGAGAAAGCGTAAGAAGTGATAGCTGATGCCTTGAGCAGCTCGTTGCTACCACTCCAGCAGCAGTGCAGAGTTGCATCCATGGCCCCCAAATTCACACCTTCCTACCTTCTCCTGCT